AAAAAAACATGTACAAAACGACGTCGTTTTAGGTCAGGGCTTACAATGCATTGTGCGCCCTGGTGCACGATATAATTTGCCTAATTCGTTGATGAGGTTATATTTCCTAAATTTGGGCTAGGGATGCCATTTGGGTTGGAGTTGTACTAATGGGCCAAGATGATGGAACTTAGGCATATCGTGATGTGGGCTGGCCCAAGATGCATGCGAGTTAGGGCAAATTATGCTGTGCAATCGTGTGCCAATAGTTATGCTGTGCAACCGAATGCACCATGCGCATGGTGCATACGATGCAAAACGACGTCGTTTTGACTAAAAACGCGCGTCTTACTTTAAAAAAAAAAATTCAGGTTCGATTCTCGGCAATAGCATTATTGTGGATATATAGTTATGAATTTCTGAATATATAGTTATGAATTTCTGAATATATAGTTATGAATTTCTGGATATATAGTCATTCATTCACTGTGGATATATAGTTATGAATTTTTGGATATATAGTTATGAATTTGTGGATATTTAGTTCATTCATTGTGGATATTTAGTTAATTCATTGTAGATATTTACTTCATTTATTCACTGTGGATATTTAGTTCATTCATTGTGGATTTTTACTTCATTCATTCACTGTGGATATATAGTTATGAATTTATGGATATATAAAAATGCTATTACCGGGAATCGAACCTCATTTCTTCTTTAAGTGGGACGCGCATTTTTTAACCAAAACGACGTCGTTTTGCATCGAATGCACCATGTGCATGGTGCATTCGGTTCCACAGCATAATTTGCGATCGTGTGCACCATGGATCCATAATTTTATACTATAGATCCATAATTTCTATACTATAGATTTATTAATTATTGAACTCTATATTCACAATTACAAAACTCTATGTTCATAATTTTCAATGTTTATATTCCCAATTGTTGAACTCTGTATTCACAAATCACTGAACTATATGTTTATAATTTGATAACTATATAGTATAGAAATTATGAATCTATAATATATAAATTATGGATTCAATTTCGTATGCACCTTACATGGTGCACACGATTGCACAACATAACGCTCCGAGAGTTACTGAAGTGTATATATATATATATATATATATATATATATATATATATATATATATATATATATATATATATGTCCTTGTTCGAATAGTGTTAAATTTTAAATTATAGGGTTCTATTCGAAGTAAGAGACATTGTTTTAGAATTATTTATTTTATCCTCATTCTTTGTGTTATTGTTATGTGATCTTTATACCTCAAACTAGTTGATGTTTAATTATTAGAATTGGAATAGTAATTAAAAATAAATATTTGATAATGGTAATGAGTTTAAGTGGAAGAAATTTCTTTTGTTTGGTAGTAAATAAATAAATAAATAAATAAATAATTAATTAATTAAAATAAATTAAAATAAATTTAAATAAATATATAAAAAATATACTTCATATTAAAATTTCATATTTAATGTATGAACAATGACATTTTTAATTTTAGTTTTAATTTTTCCTCATTTTTTATTTCATTGTTCAAATGCAGTGAAAAAAATTGGTAATCGATTTTATAATTACTTAAAGATTTAAATCCAATAATAAGATATCAAGAGTAGGAAAACAAACATGGTAATGAGTATCAAATCCTATACTAGGGTGTAAAAGTCTTTAGGGTTGGGGATTCAACCTTTTGGGAGGAGAAGGGTACAAAAGTCTAACTAAACACAACCTTAATCTTTAAATTGAAAAATCTATTTCCATCATATATTTTTGAAGAATTTTACAAAAAATCATCACTAATATATATAAAGGATTCTATAATAATAATAATACTACTTTTGGTTATGTTTAGTGATGAAAATTTATTAAATTTTCTAGAATTAAAAAAAAATAAAATTAGTATTTTTTGGTTTAAAAATAAATTATTTTAAATTGAAAAAGTAAAATGAAAGTTACAAAATATTCTTAAAATTTCCCAGATATAGAAATATAATTAATGTTCATTTATGATCATTACACTATGGCCATTGCCATAATTTCACCACTACCAATTTATTATCAATAATAATTCATTAGATTTATTTCCTTTTTTTATTCTACAATTATTAGATTACTTTGACATTTAATTGTCAAGTATTATTTTTTCACATTTGGTGCAAGTCTTTCATTTTTGACAGATTTAGTTCTTAAGACCAAATTTTAGACAGAAAACGAGTACAATTCATCACATTTAGTCCTTATGACCAAATTTTTGGCACAATTCATTTTTGACACATTTAGTCCTTATAAACATCTTGATGCTTTTGGGTATAAATATATAATTTTGAAATAGAAATGCAATATATTCAATTTATTTTCTACTGAAAATTTGATTGAAAGGAAAGGACCAAATATGGCAAAAAAAAAAAAAAAGTCGTATGTTAAATGTGACAAAAAAATGTTATTTATTGTTTCATCATATTTTTAGTTTTGACTTAACTGTTAATAATAAAAAAAAAATGTTAACTACTAGCAACATTTTTCAGGTATTTAGTAGATATTATTTACAACAAGTTTGGTTCATGGAATATGTTGAAAATGAATTAACATTCATGTGAATAAATCTATTCTATAGTTTTTTTTGTTTTTGTTTTTTTTGTTTGTTTTTTTTTTTGTTTTTTTGTTTTGTTTTTTTTTTTTTGTTTTTTGTTTTTTTTGTTTTTGTTTTTGTTTTTGTTTTTTGTTTTTTTAATTTGTTTTTGTTTTTTGTTTTTTTTTTTTTGTTTTTTTTTTTTTGTTTTTTGTTTTTTTGTTTTTTTTTTTTTTTTGTTTTTTTGCAGAGAATAGCATTATTGAGAATGAGCTATTCTCTGAAGATGAATAGCTCTTTTTATGGAATCCTAGTATAAGTTATTCCCCATGCCAATTTTTAGAAATAACAATTATTTTTAAAAATATATTTAATACCAAAAATATTATTTACACACACACACATATAAACAGTTAATATAAAGGTAATGCTGTCTTATTCTTTTTCTAATTATTAAACTAATCAAATACTAGAATATATTTTTTGATGTCTACTATTTCAATGAACTAAACAATAATGAAATAAAATTCATTTTCTCTTAAAATATATTACGTGAATCAAACATGTTGTTATGGTTAGCAATAAGGAATTATCTAATTTGTACAAGATGAGGCTTGATTTTAATATTTTGGTTAATTTAATTATTTTATTACTAACCATCCATCCACACAAACCTTTTTTACTCAATAATTCTAAATGTATTTATGGAACTGGAAAAAAGAATGATAAAAAGATTGGTTGTCCAATGTTGAAAGAATATGTGTATCCTGACTAATATATATTTAAACATTTGCATTTTTTTGACATGTGTAATCAATATGGAATGAAATAACATTCTATCTAGAAAAAGTCATATTTCATAGTCAATATTTTTATTCTTGAGTATAGGATCCAAAGAGATAACTAGATGAATTATTCTTGTTGTAAGGAAAATAATTAACTATTATATTCTTAGGATTATATTGATATTATGCTCACGAAACAAAGTTTAGAGGAATATAAATTCTATTTCATAAGGAATATAATTAGTTAGAAATAGAATTTAAATTATATTCCATTATTCAGGAATTGCATTTTAATGTTTGATTGATTTAAGGAACAAAAAATGAAATAAATACAAAAGACATAAACATACACTAAATTGTTAATCTGTTCTATTTTGTAAGAGATATATGTGTTTCGTGCGATTTTAGAAAATTAATTAAGTAAGATGTCCGCTTTTAAAATGATGTGAGTTGAAATTCACGTGAAAAAGTCAAAAAAAAAAATGATAAATTGTAAAAAGGTAAAATGTTATTTTGGTATGGGCTAAAATATAAATAAGACAAATAAAGTGAAACAACCAGATTACATATCTAAAGGCACTAATAACTGAGTATATAAATATACGTACATATTTTTCTACGTAGGAAATTTCTTATCCTGATTATAATAAATATGACAGCTAATATCGAACCCAAAAAGCAATAACTTTCATATTCCTTAGTCTAATAAATTATACGCGTCATTAAAGAAAATTTAAATAAATATTAAATGTATTTGATCTCGAATGTCATGTGTTACTTTACGCCAAATGCATTTATTGTATATAATTATCACTCTTAGTAATATAGTAATATTGTTGATTTTTAAGAAAACTATTACTCACACATCATTATTACTATATTTTCATCATTACACGATCTGATAATATTTATATGGTTACCAATCTTACCATCATCACATTTGAAATAACTTCATATTTTCTTATTTGAAAAATTATAAAATAAATACATTTTTTAATTTGTAATATTTTATGATGAGAAAAGAAAAATGAGAAAACTGTTAAAAAAAAAATTAAAATACTAAACATATCTTTAACATTTTATTTTTGTGTTGTTCTTTCTCTTAATATACTATATATCACCAAAATACATGAACCAAATTAATAACCCTTTTCCCAATTACTAAAATTGTTTTTGAAACCTAATTATGAATTTTTATACCATAGAATGAATTGAAGCCCAAATGCAGTTATAAATAGTTACTCATAAGAATACCTCTTCATACACGACAAATTATTGTGTGGACCATGAATGTAATATACATTTTTAATATATTAAAAGTACATTATTTGTGTACTGAATGTACATTATTTAATAACATATAAAAAAATTTATGTACTTTCAAATAATGTACTTTATGTATACAAATACTATAATTTTAGTATATTAAAAATATACTTTTTATTTATAGTTCGCACAAATGTGTGAACCATGGTCCATGAAATAAAGATTGTTCATAAACTTCATCTCTTTCTTCACTATAAATAGCCGCTTCTCGTACGTAGAATTAGACAGTGACAAAGTGTTGAGACCTCGTCTCTCTGTCTTCACAAAACACACACACACACACACACACATCAAATATAAAAGAATAATGAGTGAAAGTGAGGAGACTAGATTCCAAATGGAATATTTTTGCAAAGCGCGAAATGCAATCATAAAGAGAGCAAACCAGATATCCACTCTTTGTGCCACAAATGTGGTTATCATATGTTTCTCTATTTGTGGTCAAATGTTTGTATCTGGTGATGAATCTATAATCAATGCCTTTGAAGAAGAAACTGTTGTAGCACCCCAGTGCACATTCACATGCACCAATCACAAATCCCCAGGATTTTTTAAGCTTAAAAGATGGAGAAACAAGAACAACAACTCTTGTTCCTCATCATCTGTTTCCTCTCGCCGCAAGGAGAAAAATGGTGTCAAAAGTCCCATAAATCCCCCTGTGAATATGTATGAGTTTTCAGACAAGCTCAATTTGCCTCAAATCGAACAATTAGAGGAGAAGATGAAAGGATTCAAAGAGATAATAGCTCAACAGTATCTATTCCTAAGCGCTCAACAGAATGTGTTAGAATCATCCACCATGCAAAAGGATTGGTTAAAGCTTTGAAAACATGTGCAATTGAAATAAGAATTCTAGAAATTATATTATTCATCAAGTCTTTCATTTGATGTATGACTTTAGTTATACATGTATTTCTAAGTATGAATTTGATGTTTTAAAATAAAATGAAAACTTGATTGTTTATCATGGTTATTTGATTCTTGTGAAGATTGAATGCTAAATCTTTATAGATTAAAGTGTGAGATTCAATTTTCCCTAACATTTAACCTCTAGTGGCACTGGCGGTGGTGCGAGGTGAACTAGTTAAAAATTATGAACTTTTAATTTAGTAATTAAGGGGTTAAATTGAAAAATAATAATTAATATACTAACAAAATTGAATGACTACAAAGATTGAATGCTATATTGCAATATATATCCAACTAGGTCTAGAACCTAAGTTCTTGCCCCCAACTAGATAGCCTAAAAATGAATAAAACTTTAATTTTATAGTATAGGAATTAAATTCTAAATATATTGAGTGATATACTGAGGATCGTTATGCTATCCATCCGTGTGCATCATGCATGGTGCATACAGATGCGAAAACGACATTGCTTTGACGTTGACTTAAAAAAAGTAATTCAGAATTGCATAAATATACATCCATAATTTCACAACTATACATCCAGAATTGCATAACTATACATCCAGAATTGCATAAATATATATCTAGAATTGCATAACTACACATCCATAACTTCATTACTATACATCCAGAATTGCATAACTACACATCCATAACTTTATAACTATAAATCCAGAATTGCATAACTTCATAACTATACATTCAGAATTGCATAACTACACATCCATAATTTCATAACTATAAATCCAGAATTGCATAACTATACATCCATAATTTCATAACTATACATTCAGAAATTATGCACAACATAATATTGTTGACGGGAATCGGAACTGATTTTTTTTTTTAAAAAAAAAGTTGGACGCACGTTTTTAAGCAAAACGACGTCGTTTTTACATCCTGGTGCACCACGGATGCACAACATAATTTGCCATATATTGAGGGGTGGATTAATAATTCGGGATACCTAATGAGGATTTCTCTGGACTTTGCCCAAATATACTGTTGGGTTGAAGGAGCACATTAATTGAACAAGATAGTGAAGTTGGGTTAAGGTCGCATGGCATAGGTTGGCCCATGATGCAAGGAGGTAGAGTGTGGAGATTGTTCTAATTTGTATGGGAATGAGCTGAGAATAAGGAGTAGTTATGCTCTGCATCCGTATGCACCATATGCAAAAACGACGTCGTTTTATTAAAAACGCGCGTCTCCGCTTAAAAAAAAAAATTCAGGTTCGATTCCCATCAACAGTATTATGTTGTTCATTCATTATGGAATTTTAGTTCATAGATTATGGAATTTTGTTCATTGATTTTGGAATTATAGTTCATCGATTCTGGAATTGTAGTTCATCGATTCTGAAATTTTTTTATATTTCAAATTGGAGGGGGGAAACCCCAAAAACAAAATATCAACAGCTTATATTGAGGCGCCACATGGGAACCTGGTTCAGATCATCTAACAGTAGACTTTTAACATGGTCTGGAGGATTTTCTAAGATATACAGACCTCTAGGGATATTACGAGCCCAGGCTGCAAGTGCGTCGGCCGGGCGATTACATTCACGAGCAGTCCATAAAATCTGCCATTCGACAAAGTGTCCGAGCTCCTGCTTGCAAGCCATAAGGATGTTACGAGCCTGGTTATTAGGGAAGGAGTTGTTGTTGATGCTTGTGACTGCCTCGCTAGAGTGGCTTTCAATCTGAATTCTAGGGAATCCCAAAGCCGCAGCTAGTTATCGATTCTGAAATTTTAGTTCATAGATTCTGGAATTTTAGTTCATTTATTCTGGAATTTTTAGTTCATAGATTAAATTCTGGAATTATAGTTCATAGATTCTGGAATTATAGTTCATCGATTCTGGAATTATAGTTCATATGTTGTTGCTGGGAATCGAACCTGAATTTTTTTTTTTTTTTTTTTTTTTTTTTTTTTTTTTTTTAAGGAGAGACGCGCGTTTTTAATAAAACGACGTCGATTTTGCATCCGTGCATGGTGCATACGGATGCACAACATAATTTGCCGAGAATAAGGAGAGTTTAGATAGGTTTCCTAACAATCCTCGGTTGAATTAAGATTAATACTTAGATTATATTGTAAGAGCAGCCTTTGTCTACAAGAAGAAATTCATTCGTAGGAAAGGTTTTTGGTCTAGTCCGATTTGTGCTTGGAAGACGTACTTTACTTGATAACAGTGGATCAAAGCGTGAGATTCAATTTTTCCTAACACTTAATTTAGCTCTGACGGTATCAACGGTACGAGGTAAACTAATTAATAATTATGAACTTTTAATAATTAAGGGACTATATTGCAAAATGATTAATATTAATAATAATAATAACGGTACGCTGTTTTGTATTATTATTATTATTATTATTATTATTATTATTGTTATTATTATTATAATTATTATTAGTATAATTATTATTATTACTATTATTATTATTATTATTATTATTATTATTATTATTATTATTAGAGATTTAGAGTATATATTGGTCATGTTTATTGATTGAAAAATTACTTTTTTTTTTATTGCCACTGACTCTATTATATTGTAGTATCTGTTTAAATATATTGGTCATGTTTATTACATTGTTTGATGCTTTTGGTATAAATGTATAATTTTGAACTAGATCGAACTGCGATACACTCTATTCTATTTGTTTTATACAAAATATGTGATAAGAAAAAAAGAAAGTTGTGCACAAATATAACCAAAATAAAAAAAATAAAAAAAAATCTTGAGAATCTAGTTACCTACAATTACATAGAAGTGTAAAAAATTGTGAATAATATTTCACGAAATTAAATTGAGGAATAAATGCCCGAAATTTTTTTTTTTTTTAATCATGGTAAATGATTTAAGATTGCTCAATACCCGGGTTGGACTTTCATTTGGAAGGTTGTGATTTCGAGTCTCAGTGGAGATATTATTGGTTCTTTGTGTTTCAGTAGGTTGAGAAAGTATATGAACAGATACTACAATGTAATAGAACCAGTAGCATTCAAAAAAGATTGCTCAATACCCAAATTCCTTAACGTTTAGTTAAGGATAGATAAGTCCTTACCATTCAACCAAATCACCAAATTTTTAAAATCTAAATCTCTAATTCATAATAAGTTGGATTACATAAATTTCTCTTAACAAATAATCATCATCACGTGTCTAGTATTTTATAAAAATTGTACTTTCCATGCACTATTGTGATTTTCTAATTATGTTCCATGACATTTCACTTGACAAATAATTTTCGTGAAAAATAACAATATTAATAAGAGTGATAATTATATATATAATAAATGCATTCATCCGATACCATCCTCACTAGCCGACATACTAAAATCACCAAAATAATAGACCAAATTAATTAACTAACTTTCCAATTACAAAAATTTTCTTGATCATACACAAATAAAAGATCAAATTAAAGAAGAATGAGTGAAAGTGAGACAGGATCCTAGATGGTCAATTTTTACAATGAGCGAAATGTAATAGTGAAGAAAGCAAATGAGATATCCACTCTATGCGCCGCAAATGTTGTTATCATATATTTCTCCATTTGCGGTCAAATGTTGGTTGTATGACCCATTAGAGAGAGAGAAAAACGAAGGAAAAGTAAGACACGTGCGCGTTTTGAGCATCTACTGGGCGAGTAAATCTAGTTTTTTTTTTCTTGATTTTTTTTTTTAAATCTAACTAAACAATGAATTCATCTGATACCATCATCACTAGCCGACATACCAAAATCACCAAAATAATGGACCATATTAATTAACTAATTTCCCAATTACAAATATTTTCTTGATCAGAAACAAATCAAAGATCAAAGATCAAAGAAGAATGAGTAAAAGTGAGGAGACAAGATCACCGGCTAATTTTTACAAGGAGCAAAATGCAATCGTGAAGAGCAAACGAGATATCCATTTTTTGCCCTGCAAATGTTGTTATCATATGTTTCTCCATTTGTGGTCAAATGTTTGTACACTTTTTTGTAGGCCCCATTAGATAGAGAAAAACGAAGGAAAGCTAAGACACGTGCGCGTTTCGAGCATCTATTGAGCGAGTAAATCTAGTTTTTTTTTTCTTTAATTATTTTTACATCTAACTAAACAATGAATGCATCCGATACTATCATCACTAGCCGACATACAAAAAACACCAAAATAATTAACTAATTTCTCCATTACAAAAATTTTCTTGATCATAAAAAAATCTAAGATCAAAGAAGAATGAGTAAAAGTGTTGAGGAGACAAGATCCCAGATATCCAATTTTTACAAGGAGCGAAATGCAATCGTGAAGAGCGCAAACAAGATATCCAGTCTTTGCAAATCTAGTTTTTTTTTTTTTTTTTTTTTTTGATTTTTTAAAATCTAACTAATTAATTTGGTCCATGTATTTTGGTGATGTATTGTAGTCATGTAAAAAATCAGGGGCATGTCCCCCGCTCCGTTGACATCCCTAACACTGACACATATGCTTTTTGGGGGGTTTTTTGAATGCTACTGGCTCTATTACATTGTAGTATCTGTTCATATACTTTTTCAACCTACTAAAATATAAAGAACCAATAACGCCTCCACTGAGGCTCAAATGCACAACCTTCCAAATGAAAACTCAACCCGGATACCATTAGACCACATAGTCTTGGTATCATAATCCCGGATAGCATAGTTGATTTTTGGGTTAGATATTATTTGTCATATTTATTTTAATAGGGAATTTCGTACTTAGATAAATATTACGTATATTTATATACTTAGTTATTTTGTACATTTAGATATGTAATCTGATGTTTCGCTTTATTTGTCTTATTTTTATTTTAGTCCATCCCAAAATAATATTATACTTTTTTTACAATTTACCATATTTCCTTTTAACTTTTTTACGTAAATCTCAACTTACATCTCTTTA